CTCGGCTCTGCAGACTCTACAGTGAGAGCTGGAGGTTCGTAGGGGACACCACTGACAGGTGTTGAGAAAAGTCCCCCTACTTTCTAGCGTTGTATACTAGCTAGAATAACATCTGTAACTTACACATCAATTAACCTATATTACATTCTATATACGTCCTTTAAGAATTCTAAAGATACACCCTTAAACATCCACCGTAACCCAACCAGGGTCCAAAGCAGTGTCGCCGTTAAGCTAAGAAGTGTGACGGGCTAGGACTTTCGGCCAATGCACGAAAGCAATGCCACAATTAAATGTTTATATTTTCTATGAGGAAATTACGAGCGGGAAACTATGGCTCTTTATAACCATAATGCATGTTCCAGATACCCTTGCCCTTTACACGTGATCTGATAATACTCCCCTATAGTGAGAAGATTTACAAACTCGCTTGAGCCTTCAAGATAAGAATGGGCCCTATAGCCTTAAACAGCCCAGCCAGAACCCAGCCGGGCCTAGCCCGTAACAAGAAGCGAGCATATCGGGCTCAATTCTTACCTGTGCAGAAGGAAAGTACCCGGAGTAGAAAAGCCAAGCTGTCAATGTGGATATCCGTCACAAAACGTCAAGCACATGGTATTGGCGTGCCCACAGTGGGCCAATGGAAGAGGCGACTTTCTCTGACAAGCTTAAGATAGGTCATTTGAAGCCATGATGAACGGCCCGGAAGATGTGGCGAGAATCACACGGTGGATACTGATCAAAGGACGGACTAAATAGTTTCGACTTGCAGGTGAAGTTGTCGGTAAATGGATCGTATTTGGGCAGTATGAATTGTTCTATCTAATTGCGGTATTCAGGTTGTCGTTAGGACACTGACAGGGATCTGACTTAGCTCATAAGCGAGGCGCTTGGAGTAGAGGGAGAAAGGGGTCACAGAAGGAAAAAGAAGAGACATCGTTTTATGTATTTCGAGATACTAGTTAATTGACATTATTCACCGACTTCGTGAAGGACAGCTGACTTGTATTACTTTGTGTTTTACCAAAAGAAGTCGAGGTAGCAATTTCGGATATAATAAGACGATCTGGAAGGGAAGAGGACGGAATCCACACTGGCTGAACAGTGTACACTGCACTTACTGATGGTAAACTAAACAAATTGATAGGAATATAAACAGACAGGATCAGGGGGTTTTCACTAAATTGGTTTCCTCCTTTGTAAATAATGATGATAGTCACCTGCATGGACCCATAGGGTGCCTGATCGGGTTAAATGAAATCAAATTCAGGTTAGAATAAGACATATTTAGTATATTCGGCAACGGAACTCAGTGTTACTTACACACTATCATGTACCATTTTGTTTTAACAATAACAATACAATTTTGCCGCTTTCTCATTTGCTCTATCAACCCTAGTCCTAATCCCTCCAAAGTGATATATCACAAGAGTCTCACAACTTTTATCGCACTTCCAAATAATCCTGGCATTTTTACACTGTCATGTGTACTTTCACAGACGAGCTTCTTTTTTTTGAATCATTTAATATGTATGCAGCTATCTAGCTATGGCACATGACCGGTGCTATGTATACATGTAGGATGACTCTTCTGACGTTAGAGACACTCAAACTCTGGGTTTCATTTGTAAATACCACTATGAGGTATGTTCGCTTACACAAACAGTTGACCCTCCTCTACAAGTATCCACCAAAGGGAAATTCAAAGCTTTTGGTTATCCAAGCATGCCTTCTTCATCCATGTATACCGGCGCCGCGTGAAAAGTGGTTGTGTATTGCCGGATTGGAACAAGCGATCTACTGTCTCGAGTAGGATATGTGTCCAAGCTTTCCAGACTCTACTTAGCAGACCAGCCAAGACGATTTACCACTGCACCATCTAGCCATGGCGGTGTTTACAGTGTCGCTTGCACTCTCGCAATCGAAACCTTGGCACGCACAAAGCTCAATTTCTAAAAACTCCTCGCCAAAATTCGGAATTTCACGCCCATCGAGACTATATACGTCCTCTACATCATCTTGTAAGCTTGTCCAGATTTCTCTCACGCCCATCCCAAAGAACTGTCTCCCAGACCTGTGCGCCATGCTTTGCTTCCTCCATCTGGTGTAAATATCGACGTGGACGTGTATTTGGTGTAAAGCTGAGGCCAGAGAAAATCGACAAGTGGCGTGATCATTGGAATGAGGATGTACTGGGTCGTACTTGTAGATTTGATAAGGCTTAGGTATTAGTCGGAATCTTAGAGAGTGAAAAATTGACGTGGTGGAGTATTTCGAATCATTGCCTCGTAGGCCAACTTTTTCGGTACACATACGAGCTTGTGTAGCGCACGGTGCACAGTGTGGATTTTTTTTCCCGAAAATTATGGCTGTAAGCACCCTCAATATTATTATGTAAGTAAATACTAACAACTCTCACGCCCATCCCAAAGATCTGCCTCACTAGATACGTGCATTATAATTTTTGTATTCTTACGGTTATTAATATTGTCGTGGGCGTGAATTTAAAGGCCAGAAACCGGGTCGACCAGGATTTTGAAGTAAAAAATTGACATGGTTGATAGTCTTGAATCATTGTGTCGTCGGCCAACTTCATTGGCATTGCAAAATTTGACTGAATTTAGTTTGGGGATATGTTTCACTCCTAGATTCGTACAGGGGACCGCGGACAGGTGTTCAAACTCGTCTTCCTATCTCAAGCTTTGTACCGGGCAGTCTGCATCAACGCCCAAGGTTTCCTTAACAGTCAGACCAACATGATAGCACCACTAGGTCATAAGGATAATGGGCACTTAATCTAATGGACTGAGCCTCCCGAAAATCTTCGGAATTTAAAATAAGGAGCAGAAACATGATCAATGCAATTGGTAGGGAAATAATAAAACTCCAACTCTCAACGACAAACTAACCCCACAATCACTTGGTTATGATCGGTTTCACAGTCAGCACTAGCATCAAAATTTGTGCTACAGTGCCACTGGGATATAAAATGTTAACCTCGAAACTGGGATGTTTTAGGGATTATCCCTGTAGGCGCAGTTGGGCTAGCTCGTAATAGGTTAATATATCTCGTCTCCTTACCCTGCTCGCCATGAAGTATGGTCCAATCGTCTTCTTCTAACATTCGGTTAGATAAACACATTTTCAACGACATTTTTGGCTGACTAACCCATACAGTCCTTGAAACTTAACATCACTATCAATTCATCTTCTATTCTAGCAAACAATGTTTCTCCTAAAGTCTGCTTCAGAAGCCAAAATTCGCAAGTAGCCAACTCGCGATCAATGTATTGAAATAAGAGCATCAAGAAGACTTGGCTTGACACTTCAAAATATATCCGACAAACCTGGCTTCACAATAAGGCAAGTACAACTTGCGTGTGCTCGAGAGACTGAGAATCCTAAGCTTCGCAAAGGATCCCCACCTAAATTAAGCGCGGAACAAGTTGATAAGCTTGAGGCTTTCGTTCGGGAATCTCCTAAGCATTGATAGATGTGTTATTTGGAACTAGCAATGGGACCCTTCAGCCACTGGGGATGCAATGAGTATTAACTTTCAAATTCCCTCAATAAAATAGGTTACGACAGATACATTGCTCAGAAGAAGCCTCCGCTAAGTGTGGTTATTATGCACGAAAGATGTATAGCGGTGATGAAGGAAAATGGAGGGTTCACAAAGTATTGGGATGGAGCAGAACTACACAAAACATGAAGTACGCTTTGATTTTAGTTGCGAGCCATACTGAGGGCTTCGATGTATACTTTTGTAATACAGAGCAATTATTTCTGAAATAGATGTGTATTTGTAGATAATATCAGTTTATGTTAGAATTTAGAATAATTGGGGCTATAAAGTAGGCCACGTTGTTGGTACACACGTGACTACAAATTCTGTACTTAGTTTCAGTTCGGTAGTTACTTGAATCAATGCGCTTTACCACCTCAATGACTGAGGGGTCATTATTTTCTTAATAGTTTATTTTTTTAAAATTTAATTTAAAATGAGGACCATTGTACATTTGTTTTGGTGTTGAAAACCGTCCCCATTAATTTTGACTTTCACAGAATATTGTTGGATAGTACCCCTTGCTTGCTTAGCTAGTCGACGAACTAGACATGGGCCTGCATGAAGACTAAACCAATCTAATCAATATGTACAGGGATATAACCCCAGTCATTTTGACAATTGTACTTTTGATACTCTTAAGAGACAGTATATCCTCCGTCGCTAGCAGCCCTAGAAGATCTGACACTTTACAGTGCTCCATGACACAATTCCATTCTCTTGATTCAACTCGTCATTAATTTTGTTGCTAATGGTCTCAGACTTTCCGTGAGATCATGGAGAGTAATTTCCCGGTATTTAATAATTATCTAGTGTTGTTTGTTACCTAAATCCGGGGATGAATTCCGTGTTGTCTGTTATGCTTTAGATGAGCATCCTGGCTAACATGAGGGACTAGCTATTAATTAAAAGCTTGACCATGAGTTCTGTAAACGTATCATATGCAGGCGAGACCCCCACCCAAAGGTAATGGAACACTAATTGTTGGATTAATCACCGCTTAAGATTACGGCGACTATCGCCAGAAGTCATGTGACATTATACCGTGACATTTGCTCAGCACTAAGTCTACGGGCTTACTTGTTCGCTTAAACATTCTCCTGCTCCGGCATCAAATATTTCGTGCGACTGGGGCGTTAGATTCCTTGGCGCTCAACTCAAACCCTCCCAACAGACGCGTTAATATTACAGAATTACTATGAATCCCTCGGCTCTTTTTAAACAACGCCCTCATATCATTTATGACGATAAACACTTACTTGTACTGGCAGACAACGCCCAAAATCAAACTCTATAACGCCTTCATCTCTGGACCCTCTAAATATTCATTTTGTCCTTTTTTATTCAAACTTTGCTCGTGATAAAATTTTCCCGAATCTCCAATTTCCTTGCGCAAGCCGAACGCTGTTCAGGCAAAGCGCCTTGTTATGGCACATCACCCTTCATAAAGCGAACACTCATTCGTAAAACCTCGAAGTTGATGAAGTGCACCGTCGTACCCGGCCTCCAAGCGTAAGCGACTGTCTACAGTACTCGGGTTCATGATATTCATCTGGATCAGCATCCAGTAATTCAAGGAGTTTCGGAAAGTATCCTGCTCGGCCCACATTTGTGGTGACATGTTGGCGCGCATATTCAACCAAATTGAGTGCCAGCGAGTTAGAGCAGTCTTAATAGAAGAGATTGTAGCATCTAGCAGCGGTGAAGTACCGTTAGAGTTTGTCATATCAACGGAATGAGCTCGTAATGGAGCGAACATTACGACCTGTGTGTGTGCATGGACAAAAATTACTAAGAAAAGATTAGCCACAACTTAAATTAGGGATGTGGAATATACAGTTAATTAATAAAAACATATCTGTTGAACTTAGACCCATTGGGTCGTTCAAAGTAGCTGTATCTTGACTTTCAGGTATCTTGGCAAAAAGATTTTGGAAAGACTCGTAAGCTGATATCTGGCGAGTCGGTAAAAAATTGGGTATCGAAAATGGGTGATGCACAAAAAAGAACCGATCTTCACAGGGAAGATCAAACTCAATCTCGGGGAGGGTGAAACGACATGGATAGTGAACCGAAAAGCAGAGAGTACAATCGAAAAGATATATCGCATTGATTAAGCGGATTTGACATTCTTTCTCGATCCAGAGGGGCTCAGAAATAATGTCATTTTGACCGTGCCGTGTTCGGTGAAGATGGAGACGACGAGCGACCTAAGTAATAGCTGAGTCAACGACCAATCAGGCAGTAATATTCATAAGAAACCTTACCTTAACAACTACTCCAAATCGACTCTCGATGGTACGTTTTCGAGCAACAATGGTTCCAGCCCAGAACTGTAGAGACATGATAAGGTAAGCAGCCTGAAGAGTTTGAAAAGCAAAAGGACTCTCATCGAAATGTCCTATGCGCATTGTCTGTCTAATCTCGTGCTCTTCTGTTAAATTATCCAAGGAAAATATACAATGTTCCACCAGATCGAGCAACATACGTGCCGCATTAGCCTCGGTTTCATTTTTGGAATATATAGCTCCCATGATGGTGACCACCGTTAGAAGTGGAAGTGGGGCCGTTTCTATATCAAATGAAGGAGTATGAAGAATGGGAGAGTTTGGATGTCGAAGTGCAAAGGCGTCGTGGACAAAGCGTGTAATTTTTGACGGAGTATAAATAAGCTGTAAGTGTTGATTGATATCGGCTTGTTCCTGTGGACTAAGTTGCATCGTCAAGGCTCTTTCTAGGACACAGTGAATAATAGAGGACGATTGAATACTCGGCGGTTCCCAATCTCTTAATGCCATATGGCTCGGAGGAGCTGCTTCGTTTTGAAATCCAGAGTACGGACTGTTCATCAGATTCAGAAAATTATCGTTTTCCACTGACCAGGAAATTGGCTCGTCCTCATAAGAACCATTATCACTGCCACTATATTGTTCAATTAGATCTACGGGCTGTTGTGCTCGAAAATTAAAGATGTTACGGCGCTCTGCGGTGGCGGGAAAACGGAAACAATCAATAAAACTCCCAGAGCCTTCATTCAAGAGAAAGTTGATGGAACCCCTGTTGAATTCCTCTACCTGGGATTTGAAGCCTTCAAACTCAGTTAATGATCCGAATTCACGTGACCGTACAACAACTTACTTTGACTGCGGGCCTGCAAACCTTTAGATTCCAGCCTTAGAAACTTGCACTCAATTCTTTTTTGGCAGCAAGTATTGCATGGATTCTTCCCGTCGCACCCAAGCTTCATCGCGGTACACTTTTCTCCATTAGCCAAGCCCTTTTTCAGCATAAGTGAGCCAAAGACTCACTGAGTCACAAGCATGTGAGCGTCTACCGCCTCGCGCAGCTTCTGGTATCGCCCGACCTTGTCTAAGAGTGCAGCCTGGGTAATGGTCTCTCAGATTATCGCTGCGATGCAGTCAGTATAATGAAACTTGCCCTAACGCTAGCTTCGAGATCTCACCTCCTTGTAAAGCCATCGGAACAAAATATACACGAGTATGGTTTAACTCCAGTGTCTAGAATATAATGTCAGCGTCGTGAACGGATATTTTCCAGTGGTGTTCATGATGCTATGAAGAGTGCAGTCTTACGTCTTAATTGGTGCCTCTTTAAGTGGTCAATTCGCGAGAACTTTTTGCTACAGAGCGTACATTGTAATAGTTTCTTGGTTGTTTCTGTCGTACGGGTTCTGGGGGCCGGAGAATTGGAAGGCATTCGTAGATTGGTTATGGTGGGGAGGAGGGACTGAGCCTAATAGTGTATATTGAGGATGGTAGTCTGTAGGGAATGAAGTGACAGGGTACGAGAACAAGAGGCAGATGGAAAGGGGGGTTAGAGGGGAGGAAGAGGCCCGGACAGGAAAAGTCGTAGCCAAAATATCGAGGTCGAGGAGATGTGAGGACTGGAGAACCAAAAGGGGAGAGGGGGAGGAGTCATGTTGAAAGTCAAGGCTGCACCGTGGACTTTATGAAGATTGGAACCATGTAGCTCGAAATAGTAGTTTGCCCAGATTGATGGAGATGGATGGGGATTTCCCCGTGCCTACAAAGGTGTGAAGATACGCCAGGACCCATGAGTTTGGAGGTTGAGTCCCCCCACTGATCAACCTCTTCACTTAGGGATCTTGCCGAATCTCCGGATTGCCACCTCCTGGAACCTATTTGAGCACAGTGGGGGTAGGCGAGATTGATATACGGTAGTTTGTTCCTTTTCTAAACAATTATTGGTCAATGAATGGAAGATGGAAAACCCATAGAGGTCTAGCGAGTATTTTGCCCGTGCCGCTTCTGCCGGAGGCTTCCACGTAGTTGTGTCTATTCGTCTACCTATACTCGGGTAGAAAGCTGTTACTTTTTAGAGACAGTGTAATATTTGTAATCTCAGTTTCCAGATGGGCGTTTGAGATTGGATTGGACGACGCAGTAGTCTACGCCATTCCTCCTCTCATCCAGCGTGTCCTCCAAATCAAATGGCACGTGCATGCGCGCTTATTGTGGTTTAGTCACAGGCTATGGATATCAAAATGGACTGTTTATGACAGTAGAAATCTCTAATGCTATACCTGTATCCCACTTCCGACCTAAAGTTGAGATGACCTACCCCTGTAAGGCAAGGCAGCCTCAATTCTAGGCATGATGTTCGAGCGTCTATTTCCAGCATTGGTCTATCTTGAGGGCCTGCTAAGTGTCAGCAATTGGCCCCATCAAGTTAGGCATTTTCTCCTTATAGGCAATAGTACAAGTATTGGGTTAACCCAATACCACCTCGATCCCGATGAGCTTATTCGGAAGAACAATAATCCTCGCGCCGAGTTCATGGGCAGCTCATGTGACATGATGGACGTCGGATAACGAATAGAATATTCTTAGCAGGGCGAGACAAAGTCGTAACAGTGCCGCTACACGACTAGGGATTCCCATTTGCAAACATAAGGAATCTTCCGGCGGAGAGACTGTGCTTGTTCAACAGAGGCTGTGTACCTGATGATCTCCTCACCTTTGCTGATCTTTCAAGCTGTCCAAATAACCCTGTAACGCTGACGCTCCTGTGTATAGGAACTGACGCCTTCACAACACCCAGCTCTACGTCGATGGGTTGATTCGCTTCTACCACAAGGACCAAAATCCGATCCATTCTTCCTTCACTCCAAATCATAGCGCTGTTACGTCGAGGAGTCACTGGTAAGCTGAGAAGGTCCCGATCGACGTAGCGAAAATATCACTGAATATCTTTGGAAACACCTGCTCACTCGAAAATTTCGAAAAAGCTTCTGGATGCCATAGCATGGGCCAAGATAGCCTGCAGCATTGAAAAATCCCGACATAGTGGATGGACCGCATCTTCCGTAGTCATGGGTATGTTAAAATCTATGCTGGGACCATGATGCCTGTCACTTTAGCACTCCACATATCATGGATGAGCTAATCTGGCATGTCTTGACCAGTGCCTTTACCCCATATTCCGCGCTCTCTACCTCATTAACGCAAGCCTCCGACAAAAAGATATGAATTTGACGTTTAAATTTCATTTTTCTACGAATTGTTGAATTCTGAATAATCGGCTACATCTGTGACAGAGATGGTTTGAAATCTGCTTGATTACGCAGCGATTGTCCCGCTACTGCAGCTAGGCATCCCACAATAGTTGACCATGGTCTGAATTTCAAGAAGCCTGTTGGTTTGAGGGATTAATACCGTGCGTAATTTCCTCGTGCCGACGGGTTGGCGCCCCTCTCAAGTTCACCTCGTCATCCTCTATCTGTGGTAGATCTTCAATATGAGCGACGTTTGGGTCTGCGTATGATACTATTGATGTTGGTGCTATTTCATGAAGCATGAATTCGAGACCCACCATTTCCCGTCAGCGACATCGATCATGGTACCTTGATTAAAACGAGGATTTATGTTAAGGGTCTTCCGAAACCCACACATTAGCGAGATTAGCACTCGGATAGCGTTCGTAGGCTAAAAGTCTCGAGCCAACTTATCTGCTTTACCCCTCTGATGTCTATAGTACTTCAGACGCTAAATTTCAGTCAGACGAATGAATATGCCAGTATTTTGTTCGGGCTTGATCGACTCCGCTTTAATTCGAGTATTACACATCCAAGTGACCAATCTCCACTCGGATTTGGTTGCGACCTGCAAATTCTCCTGGAAATGATCAATACGTACATGATTATCCCCAAAAGCATTCATCAACTTCAAGGTTACGCTATACTCGCCAAGCTAGTCATTACGCAAACTGATTTAATTTCTATAGCCTGCTATTTTCCAAATCAAGGTCCTTGCGCCCTTCAGTCTAAGCGACATGCTGGCTTCGATAAAGTTTGACCCTTGCTTACATTTACTGGTCTGTGGTCATTCGATTCAATCTATTCTCAATTAAAATTCAACTTGTGATAATTTGTATAATGAGGTCATTTCAAGCCGAGAGCTTACATACAATAACCCTGCAACTGGGAAATGTGGACCTCGACTGGGAACTTGGTTAAGTAAAAGCCAATTTTAATTGGATTATCAGGCCTTACCGCAATTATTGCGGATGGAGCCTGCCAGGTGAAGGGAACACCTCGAAGACAAATTTGCGGGTAAGGAATTAGACTTTTAAAAATGTTCGTATATTTGGATTCACCAACGGAAATTTTGGGTGATAGAAGCGTCAGCATACAGATAGGAGAAGATAGTCTTGGGGGCCTCGATCCCAAATACTGTAGAACAACAAACATGTTGAAATGGCCCCGAAAGCTACGCGCATTTCAGCGATATCTCATGTTTATATGAGACTTGTGCAAACTCCTGGAATCAAGTTTTAGGCAAGTTCCTCACAAAAGATGACTCTTACTCACTTAGTACTGGCTTGATACCTCCAACCAAATCAAATTTTTGCTAATAACAAGTCAAATATTAGGCTAAACTCTCATTTTCACATAACAGGCCTTGGCACATCCTATTTTCAATGATAATTCTCCCTGTCAAATCTTTGGGCCTTTATCTACACACTTTCAAAGCTACGGAAACCTGCAAAAGGACTTCGAGGTCGGCATACATGTATGATGACAAAAATAAAATGGGTCATAAAAGATGGTGGGGTATATAGAAGTGTTTGAACTAGGTATGGAGAGAGTCTAGAAGAGGATAAAGAACCGATTTTGGGAAATAACCTTCAACTTTGAGGTGTCTTCTGCGCGTCGCAACTCCAACTGTGAGTCTGTAGGTGACATTTTCAAAGTAAGTCGGCTAGATATCCCAGTGTTACACCATCTAGGCTGTGATTTCAACAAGATTAAATATTTATTGTAGTTTCTACTGAGTAAGACTGCTTAAAGTCATTTGTGTTGCTTTTGTTTCCTGATTTCTAAAATATTTTGAGTGACTTGGACCCCATATATGTTGACACCAAATATCTTATCAAATATTTTCTTCTATTGACTGAGGCCAATTTATTGATCGCCTACAGATTCTTAAGAAAGATACGTGGGACACGGTATTGCGTTGTAAATGTTGACTAGAGAGCCCTACTACTACAGATGAAGTCTATGTACTGTTTGAGATCATGTGACCAGACTAGCTTAGTTTACAAAAGTAGGTGGAATATTTCCTTTTAACACATTGAGGTTGTATCTATTGCAGTGTTCGCAGTCGAGCAAAGCGATCCATAGAATAGCTCAATGAAAGTTTAGACGGATTCTGATATCATCCAGCAAGAGACTTGTCTCAAATGTAAGAGGGTTTCATATTATCATCTATCTTAAGACGAACTTCCCCGTTATCATGTCCGCTCCCCATGTGGGGTCTAGCATACAAACCTAATCTATAACATCATCTCAGGACTGGTACTATAGCTTCTGGATGCTAGCAATCTTCCGACTGTTTCAATTACGCTCTACCGTGCGAAATGTTTACTAAGTTAGGACTCTATTTAAGCAACATGCATAGCAATCAATTAGAGCTCCAAAATCACTCATACCCTTAACCGAGACGGCATAAATCTTCGGAACAGTAGCCTACGATAGAATAAAACGAAGTCAGGTATCGTCGACCATGATCTATTCTAAATATGGGGATACCATCCAACGAAGATTCGTTCAGGAGTGAAGTACTGCGCAAGATGTGGCTCAACCAAGCACAAAGATTCATCGCGCAGACGAGTTATTTGAAGGTGCAAAAACTGCCAGGAGCCCTATTCTGCTACCAATCCATGCTATATGACAAGGCTAAAACGGCTCGTTAGTAAAACTGCGCAGGTACGAAAGAATAGCTGACCAAAGTTCGTAAGCAGGCTAGAAGGGAAGACACGCTTCCACTGGAGAGTAAGAAGCAAAGTAGAAAGCTAATTTATTGGCTTTCAAACAATCATTTATCATATTGGTATTGCTCCCGTGATTGGAGAGCTATTGTGCGCTTTAGTCCTCGGATTGACAAACTTGTCCCATCTCGAACCGATATTTCTGATTGTATCGAGGGCGAAAATTTCATTTCGACGAGCATTCCATGATGCTGTCCAATTAACCACCTCGTCCGTTTTCCCCGGGGCGCGCTGAGATACCATGCTGTAGCACCCTTGCGCACACTTTGAGTGAGCGCCTTGGTCACTCTCACACTCGTGGCCCATGACTCCACTATACCTCCACGCACCCGGCCCTTGCCCTGTCTATATGTTGCCCCTCCCGCCGCAAGTTAGGCCCACTTGACTTGCATGAGGCCGGTGCTTTCTCAGCCGAAATAGATCCTACCCTCTTGTGGATCCGGAAAAGACATACAGGGTTATGGGAAGTCGCACAATAACATTACATAATCATAATGATAGATCACTTCGGCATTGAGGGGTAAGGAGGGATTGATGTATTTAGGCGTAGAGATATCCTACACTTAGAGGATATAGAATTTACATATTAGTCTCAAGCTCTACACAAGATCTGTTGTAGTTAGGAGCCACGAGACACCACGTGATATCACCTCAATCTTACAACCACATCCATTGTATACCAAGTCTACAACGCGCGCTCGGAACCTCAAAAATATATTATTTGAAGAGTTAACCTCATTTCCAAGTTTCTAAAAAAGTAAGATCAACCTATCGAACAATACACCATATCTGAAAGTAGCGAGCTAGCGACAATTGCGGGCGTCATTTAAAAATTGCGCGAACACATTGACCAACAAAACGAGTCCAACGATAGGATCAAACAGCGATTTGAAAGCTCGAGAGCCTAGTAGGCTCGTAAACTGACATCGCCATACACCAAGCTGAACAGAGCAAGAAAACAGCTGGAAGGATGGACCGCATCGAAGCAATGCTGTACGATATGAAAGCAAGCCTCAAGGCAATCCAACCAAGAAGCCAACAAATTAAGCTCTCAATGTCCGATACCTCCGACCCGACAAAGGAAAGGCCCCGGCAAAACCAGACGCATCCATGCCGGTTGACAACACAACTGTCATCTCCAAACCAGAGCCTGAATTTTTAGCTTTGACGCCTGGTAAAAAATTCGTCAAAGAAGCCTGGCCTCAAGCACTTCTAGCGCATGAGATAAATCACGAGGCATACACTCGCATAAAAAACAAGGTAGTCATTCGGCCAGACCTTCGCCTCGACAAAGCGAATTCTACCGTTTTCTTAAAGCTCGCTGAAATTCAGTCAGCCCTGGGAATAGCCTTGGTCCCATACTGGTATTGGCCGCAACGTCTCTACCTCGAAAGGAAAGAGGATTTCCAGGGGACACGTGTTTGGGCCGAGGAAAACCCCTCAACCACATGGTATCTACTCCTCGAGGACATTTTCAAAATAATGCAGCGACTAGACGTCCTGCATAGTCCGAGGACGTTGTTCTCTCACCTCTCCGCCAAGCACGGAGAGGACATAAATTTCTTCGCTATCGAATCCGGGACAGCTACTATCACCTATCTAAAGCCGATAGAGATAGTGATACAACTCGCGACACCCTCGCGGAAATTACAAAGTCCTACTTACCACATGTTTGGACGCTTCTACAGCCAAAAATGGTAGGAAGGCCTACTTGTGAGGGTATCGAATCCCTGGTTCAGATTGCGGGCCGAATTTCAAAATGGCCAACACAAACAAATCTCTGCACCAGCTCAGGACCATCCTCTCAATCTAGGCACTTAATAGCAGATCCCAGGTTGAGCTAACAAAAAATCTTCCAAGCCCCAAGAAAGGGCTGACTCCATACTGCCCAAACCGGGAAACTCGTCCCCAATACGTGACGGTAGCTGCGCCATCTGTAAAAAAATGGGACACTGGGCTAGAGAGTGCCCCCAAAGAAACCCCACTAAACCAGTTCCGCAATACCACAAGCGGGAAAAGAGCAACGATAAGTACGGTACCTTCAAGAAGAGATTTTCAACACTACTAGATAAAACTCGGCTTCAAAGGCCACAGCGGACGGACAGACCAAGAAATCAAGGGACCTATCTGATAGACTTGATAGAACCCGAAGAAATACCTGGCGAAGTACAACACGCTGACGACAACGCCACCGATGATGAGCTAGAAAAGATCTTCGATGAACTCGAGCAGGAGCAGTCCTACGAGTAAGGATGTCAAGATGCTTACTTCGTGGCAGTAAACATTGGAAATAACACGCCACTTCTCTGCAATAAACCAACGCGAGAGGGACATGGCAAGCCACAAAACCTTTTCCACACTTGTTAAACCTCATCTCCTTTGTGCAGTTTCTCCACCTTCTTTGATTATGGATGCCCTTCTTGTTACATTTCTTCTTCTCTCGCGCAAAAGCTCACCCCTTACCAGATAACTCAGGCTCCCACAATGTGTGGAATAGGCAGTAGAGGCCCCACGATCTCTGAAGATGTTCTAGTCAGTACGCAATTTTTCCTTTCTCCACCAAACAACCAAAAGTTTTCCTCACCTTTCACCATTTCGGCTGGTGTCGTTCCCGACGGAACTTTCCCTGGGGACCTTACGCTTGGGCAAACAGTATTCCACGCATTTGGATTAGAATTCCTCGCCCACGGTGAGACTAAACTCTTCGAATTTCCAGAGATACCAACCCTTACCCCCCTCATCGAAAATAATCTGACCCAAAAAATCTTCACGACCAAAGAAATACACAAACATATATTTTTGAGGTTCCGAGCGCGCGTTGTATACTTTGTATTTATTTACTTATAATACTTAACGTCGTGCCCGCGCACAGCACGTGAGCTCCTCACGTGCCAGCTAGCTCAGTCTAAATAAAACTACCCGACGTGTTGGCACCTGAACAAACCCAACAAAGCAAATGAAAGCCAGGATCTTATCATCCTGCGCTTGAAGATTAAATTGTACATGGTTACCGGTCTCCCTTCAACTCTCATGTTTTCGGTTGTATTGAATGAAGAATAGATTAAATAAACAATATGGAAGGGGGAACTTAGTTGTAGACTTAGTATACAATGGATGTGGTTGTAAGATTGAGGTGATATCACGTGGTGTCTCGTGGCTCCTAACTACAACAGATCTTGTGTAGAGCTTGAGACTAATATGTAAATTCTATATCCTCTAAGTGTAGGATATCTCTACGCCTAAATACATCAATCCCTCCTTACCCCTCAATGCCGAAGTGATCTATCATTATGATTATGTAATGTTATTGTGCGACTTCCCATAACCCTGTATGTCTTTTCCGGATCCACACTCTCGTCGCCTATCTCCGGCCGTAGCGAGGCTGGCGGGGTGGGGACGTCTGGGCCGCTAGTCCCTTAAAAGAGATGGAGATGGGTATAAATTTAAGGCTCTACTGAATCTAGGACAATAAATTGCTACTTGAAGATCTATCTTATTAGTTCCTTAATATACGGCTTAATTTCTAACATGAAAATTACAACTTATCACTACTTGATCTTGAGGGTCAAGCCCCTAAAATGTAGAGATAGTTAGAGATCAGGACGATTGGGACGATCGGGATTAAAAAGCGGGCCACATTTGGTTTTCTAAACAACGTCATGCCAGCCCAGAACACTGCCGTAGGATCTCGTGTCGGCCAGCTCATTCTATATGAACCACCCGACGTATTTATATTTTTGTGTATCGTAGTCAGAAGGCCTCGTTGATGATACTCATATGACTTGAATTATGTGATTAGTCACGTTTAAGTTATCGCTTGAATGAGTACATATTGAAATGGGAGCTGTAGAAAACATAATTTTAGCAGAAAACTGCGCAGCGCCCCACGCTGCCCTTATCATCAATTTGAAATCTTAAATATCATTTATCTTCTTAAACTTTATCCTATCTAAACGCTTTCCGCACTACAACATGGCGGGTATGGGTGCTGGTGTGGGTAAAGCAAGTGGTTTCGACGCATTGGAAAACGGGACAACGGCAAACAAATCCAAAGGCGGTGGAGCATAGATAGCTCCAAAGGATCCTAACTTAGAAATTATAAGGAAACGACTGAAACAGGTTAGACTTATAGTAATGGCAGGGATGGATGAGGAGATCCTACCATCAATGGAAGATGTTAATGAAGCCGTCAAGGCATTCAATTGTCACAAGAATTCTGAGACAAAGATTTATTAGGCCCCACATCCAATCGAGTAGAGTATGATAGCGCCAGATAAAATTATCAAAAAGAGCCTCGCAGACTCCGCACGACAAGCCGCTCCATTTGTGGTGTCTAGGAAGCCGTCACTAACGACCTACGCATCGTTCCTAGCTGCGCAAATGACGAAAACTACAGTCAGAATAAGAATCGATGGCGCGCAAAACTTTTTGCCACAAGATCTGCTCTTAAAGGCACAACACATTTCCAATGCGCATTCGTGATTCGCAAGATGTGAAGCAATGTCACTATAATATTTATCTAATCGATATCCCAGAGAGACACGGCGTTCAACATGCGTCAACTTCAAGAATTTAAGATTCTACGGCAAGACTTTCCCGTCGAGGTTTCTGATGTCCGTTCGCAGACTGGGGTTAAAGGAGGCAGAGATGCCGAAAATTACGCTATCATCAGGGAGATTGAGATAGCGACTAATGCTCAAATTCCGGGCCTTGCGATAAATTAAATTAGGTGGTTACATGATGGAAAAGAGCATCAGCGTTTCAAGAAAACGGTCGTAATCGAGGATCAATCGAAGTCAGCCTCCCGTCGGAGGTATAACAAACGGAAGTGGTTCGATATGGCCTCGTCATTAATGCCATGCTGTTCATCGCGCAAGTGTGGCCTCCAAAAACCCAGCCAAAGCAGTGTTACAACTACAGCCAGTGGTAAAACATAAGCGTCGTGTGAAAAGACAGCCAGTTGCGATGAGTGCGCCGGCGTTCATCAAACTCGGGACTCTCCGGGGAAAAGGATTTTTTGTGCGCACTGCGGCAAGGCACACCGTTTGTGGCCGAAAGCAGCGTGTCGGACTTACCAGGTATACAAGGGAAGTCTGGAGAAAACCCCGATTAACCTTATATCTCGAACGGTGGAAATATAGAATGAAAAACCTTCAAAGGCGCCAATGCGAACAGTCGGAACGACTGATGATCAGGGATTTACTTTGGTCCCCAGTAAGAAAACTGAAGGACTCAAAAAAGGGCCAGAACGACCGCGTAAAGTAGTCGAAGCCCCAACGGCACCAACCATCCTCGCGACAGTCACACCATTGGGGCCAACTCTTCGAACACTTCGACGGCCAACGCCGAGTGAGGAGGCGCCATCTCTTTTCAATTTTCCATAATGTTAGTCTGACTGAAGGGGGAGTTAACGAATCCTGGGGAAAGTTTATAAAATTATGGTTGAAAGGAACGTCCTCAGCATTAAGCCGGGTCGGTTTAGAGTGGCAGGACAGTGTGTTTTGTTGCTTGAAAGCTTTTCCCCTTCTTAACACGGCTTACGGTCTTCATGGTTCTGTATGTAGATACCGCATAGGACATTAAACTAGAGAAATGAATGGGAGCTAAAATCCCTTCATTCTTATATTGATCCGAAGATCAATATTTCAGAGACCTGTCCAGAAGATTCAACGCTACCAAGTCCACTCATTGCCTATATCCTTGCCGCACGCTCTGGACACAGTGAGTTCTTTAACTAACATGAACGTTTTAGCCATGATAACACAATTATTTACTATAGTCGTGGTGAGCACAAGTCTCCTAGACTTTCACGGATAAACGTGGCGGAAACTAGGATGGTGTCTCATGGGGAGTTCCATGCTAAAACACAACTCGGGGTTAGATCAAGTTCTCAAACAATTAGGACAGGCTCAGGAACATAGGGTCGTTTCATAGGGATTGCGTAGTAATACTGTTCGAGACAGAGCTTAGGGCTGTCCTATTATCTGATGTACATATATACCCAGCGTGAAGGAGTATTCTTCTTCACGCAACGTCTTCTGTTTATACTCATACCTATTGTTCACTTACTTATCTCTTCTCTAAAGAAGACCGCCGTTATTGTACCCTTCTCACCTACTACTTGTTATACCTTTACTTCTTACGTGAACCCTATACCTAACGCTGAATTTATACCTCCTACTCTTAGGAATCACCACCATACTCCACACCTGTAACCTACTTGTACCAAATTCGTACCCTACGGAATACTAATAACACGGCTCCTTGAGATAGACACATGTTACAGTGCAGACTGCCACATTTAAGACTTTCCAAAGCACCCAAAGCCTACTCAGATTAGAGCACCTTTTTCTAGTCATAGTAAATGGGGCTGGCAGACTCATCTAACGGCTACAGAAGACAAAATTCTTCCCAGAAATCTGCCCCGAACTCTCACTTGCAGACCCAGGAGCACCTAGTTAAACTCTCCGAATTAAACCTTGTGAATCTTAAGAAAGTTTATTAAGCGCTTCTGTAAATGCAAGGCATGTAATGATGGGCATGAGGCATCGCCATCAAACAAAATGAGGTTCATCCACGAAATAATTATCAGATTTTTCCCAAGATAAAATGCCGAGAGGCTGCTCAAAGCCTCGATAAACTTCATAGTTTAGGTTAGATCCTACTATTTGTTCGGGAAGCAGGCGCCCTTAGCCAACCAG